TTATTCAATTATATTTCTTTCTATCAAGGTTTTATTAATTCTCAATCAAACATAAACACACAAAATACAAAACATAAAACAAAACATAAAAACATAAAACCTCCTTAATTATCATTTGTACATATCTTTTCCAAATTTATTTCTCCCTTTAGTTTTATTCCTCCAAGGTTTTATTAATTCTCAATCAAACATAGCTAACCAAAACACAAAACATAAAACATAACACTTCTTTTTGGAAAGTGGCTTAGCCCCAGGTTACATCTTTTTTTACAGACCTAAATCAAATTCATGCTCACCTTATATACCATTCTTATCTTATTTACCATTCTATATTTTCTATATAACTTCTCCCTTCTTTTCACTCTCTTAATTATATTTTATTTATTTCATCTTATTTTAAAATCATTATGTTTGTATCTTTTGTCTGTTCTTTTCCAATTATCTATTTATCTCTTCTCTTTCCCCTGTAATCACTTTTAAAGTATGACGCCTTTCTATCTTTCCCCTAAATTAAGACTTAAAATAATACATAATTTCCATTCTGATTCTGCTTAGTACATTCTACACATTGCATTTTAAAATAAAAGAATAATAAATTTATAATATAGTTAAATATATAATTTCCATTCTAATTCTAATTCTACTTAATACATTATTTTAAAATAGGAAAATGAAATAGTAAATTTATAATAACATTAAGACAATAATGAATTAAACAATAACTAAACATCAATCATTTTACACATTCTCTTTAATATTTTATTGAATATTGAGATCTATCATTATTAAACATTTTAATATTTAATATTTTGTTGAATCTTATAATATTCCAATGGGCTATTTCAAATGCAAATACTACAATACTATCTTATGTACTCTTGCAGAATCTTTCTTTAATTATACTCTATCCTTTATCTCTAAAAAAAATCTGCTTTTTTGCATCTTGTTTCAGACCTTTGTGGCTTTTTTCCCCTTTCTCCCTCCCTTTCTTCTCCAGTCTGGTCTTTTTGCCCCCCCCCCCCTCCTAACCTCCACTTTTTTAACTTCCCCTCTCTGTTGTATTTCTCTTTTCTGTTGCTTTCTAACATTGTAGCTTTTTTCACCTTATTTTTCTTTTTTTTTTGGTTGTTTTATTAAATCTTAAATTCTCATTTTTCCTTCCTCTCTTCCTATTTTCTTTCTTAATTAAACTTTTTTGTCCATTAAAAATGGCTTCTTCCTTTTCTTCTTCTTCTTCTCCTTCTTCCTCATGTATTTGCTGATATGTAAAAACCGCCGTTTCTAAAAAGTGGAAGACAGCTCCCAAAGAATCCTTGCCTTCTTGTTCTCTTTCTTTCAGTTTTTCATATTCCATTTTCATATTCCATCCACAGATAGTGCCATTGTAATTTTAAGAACAACCCAGATGTTTTTAATCTTAGAGTAATTTCCAAGTGTCAGAGTTATCAAACAATCCAAACAGACACAAAATATTTCCTCTTCTTCTCTTTGCAGTTTTTCCTCCTGGGGCAAAATCCCAAAATATATTTTAAAGCCGTATTACAGTTAGTTGCTGGTCTTATAATCTTCAAGGCATCTCCTCCAACAAATTTTTAAAGTTTTTTTAGTCCTCTCCTTCCCACTTATAACAAAGAGCTTATTTTTACCTTAAAGAAGCAGGTTTTTCAGTGCTCATTTGCTTTCTCCGTAAGGAAGGGGAGTGAACTTTCCTTTCAGCACTTTCACCGTTTTAACAACTTCTTTTGGAAACAAATGTATCAATCCAAAAGTCAGGTTTCCAGGGTGTTTAAAAGTATCTTAATGTCCCGGTTCAGCCAAGAAAACTTCTCCTTCTGGTTCTTCCTCCTGCACAAATCTTATCCGGTTGAAGATTCCTTTGTGGCTGCCATTTCTGACAGCCGCTCCACCGCCTCAGGAAAAAGGAGTCTAGCCGGCTGGGGAAAGGGGGTGCGATATCCCCAGACCCCTGCCCCGGATCTCCTCTGTCTTCCGCTGCCCCTCCGGGGTAGCAACAACCCCCAAATCCAGTTGGATCAGGGGTACCTCAGCAGCGAGCGCAGCAGGGACCCGCAGAGATGCAGATTCCTGCCACCGCCGAAGCCTTGCAACCGGAAGTCCAATTGTGACTTATGTTTTATTACCACACCACAACTTGTGTATGATTAACATGTACAGTAACACACTTTCATCAATCTGTGTTTATTTCTGCACATACCTAAAGCTGGCGTATCATTGAGTAGATGCTTAAAGTATGGTATTTCTATTCATGGCTGGAAGTTCTAACCACCAGGAACTGAATTTGTCAAAATGAGTAGATCTATGCCAGCTATTGAAGTGATATTCCTAAGAGATAATTTTTAAAAACAAATTGAACATTTCAATTTCTTCAAGGGGACATTATTGAAAATGTAAAAGGTAGTTATAGTGAACTGCTTGATTCTTTTTAAGGTGTCCATATGGAGATTTAAAAAAAAAAATATCAATAGGAGAACTTCTTACCAGCTGAGGAGAAAAAGCTCTAGTCTGAGTCATGTACACTCAAAATAATTACTATAATGTTTTCAGGCAATAATATTTTCCATGCAGAGCTGCCTTTGAAAATAATTTGATGACTTCGACTACTTTGATGCCTGTGTCCTTATTGTCCAAGTTGAATTATTGGTACTGGCTACACTTCTCCAAATTCAGTTTGTAAAATATTACGAATCTTTAAAACTTGTTCTATTAAAAAAATCTGGAATGAATCAGGTGATGAATCTGATTCTCTGATAATAAAATCTCTATTTTGTAAGAAATTTTGGGGTGTCTCCATGATTTTAGGCATGTTTGCCTATACATGTCTGTACAGGAAGGCAGCCTTATTTCATAATAACAACAATAGGAAAGGCATTTACACTGATGAAAAAGAATGAAAATATCTGACTTAAATAAAGTTGTTATTCTGTTATGTGATATTGTACTAAAATTAGCTGTTTCTGAGCTGGCCTACTAAGCCATTTATGTTAAAATGTTTGTTTTCCTCAGTAAAGTCAGATTATGAAAATAAACTTTATTTATTTATTTATTTGTTTATTTATTTATTTGCTTGCTTGCTTGCTTGCTTGCTTGCTTACTTATTTGTTTAACTGCCCATTTTACCGTAGAGTAACTTTGGGCAGCGTGCAGTTACATATACAGTTAAAACATAAAAGCAAACATTAAAAGAAAAGCCACATGGGGAGGGTGAGGGCAAATGGGAGGGGGGGAAATCTACTATTAATCAATCATCTCCATTTCACTCTTCCCCATCGGGGCCCAAGCTGACTGGCAAAGCTACCTCATTAGGCCCTTATGAAAAGGTAGAAGGGTTGGGGGCCAACCTCACATCAGCGGGCAAGATGTTCCAGAGGGCAGAAGCAGGCCCTCCTCCTGGACCCCGCCAGCTGTAATAATTGGGCTGATGGGACCTACAGCATGCCTCCTCTGCCTCCACAAGTAGTATGGGCCAATCCCAGTGTGGTGAAATGGTCCCACCATAAATATGTGTGTGTGTGTGTGTGTGTGTGTGTGTGTGTGTGTGTGTTGATCCATTCATAAACTTTTTATATGTCATAAGGCATATCATCTTTGTCAAATAATTTGATTAAATTATTTATTGAGCTCATACAATTTACAATCATTTGAGGAGATATAAATGTGGGCATGTGCATATGTTGGGTTACATGTGATAGCCAGAGTTTCTCAAGCAGAAATGTCTATAATATCAATAACCAACAGATGCCCAGCTTCAAGATTAAGAAGTGCAGGGCAAATAATCCACCAAACCATGGTGAGAACAAGAGAAAGTACAGTATAGAATTTAAACTACAATGGGCATAAAAAGAATGTTACATCTTCATAATGAGGGAGGACAGTTCTCTCTAGTATGCAATAGACTTTCTTACTTAGTCATACTTTGCTATGTATCTGAAAGTCTTAAACTGAGTTAAACCTAGAACCCAGTCAAGCCATATGAAGGCAGGTGTCCTGGAATTTCTGTTTCAGTCTGGGCACTAAACCTGACAGCTTGTGTGAATTGGTTTTCTCATTTATTAACAGGTTATCCATCCTTATCATATAAGTGCATTTAATTTCTATGAATCGTATCAATTAATTTGATATATGAATGGGGGTGGGGTTCTGGGTAATGGCTTACTGGTTTGTTTGTTTGTTTGTTTGTTTGAAGCTTAGAATAATATTTCTTTCCTGCTTCCCCCCCTTTTTCAACACTTACAGGAGTCATAAGAACAGCTCTGCATAACATGGACAGGGAAGCCAGAGAACATTATTCAGTTGTCATTCAAGCCAAAGATATGGCTGGACAAGTTGGAGGGCTATCAGGATCAACCACAGTAAATATCACACTCACGGATGTCAACGACAATCCTCCCAGGTTCCTTCAGAGTATGTAAAGGTTTGATCTGATTTATTTCTTCCCAACAAAAACTGTCTGCTGTTACAATTTCAGGGAGATTCTGCTAAAATGAAGGATGAGCTGTGAATAACAATCAAGATATTTGACAGTGAGATATCATATTCACTAACTCCTACGAAATAGCATTTTCAGTGCTGTGCTTATCTTCATCTTCACTTAGCAAACCTTCTACTCTTTATTCTTTTCTGCTTTCATAGATGTGTGTATATAAGCACAGGTAAACTTCAGTTAATGACTGACTTGTTCAGACACCATTCAAAGTTATAATGGTCCATGGTATAGTGGACCATCCAAAGTTACTTATGACCAAACCTTGAGGCTTCAGTCATCCCAACAGCCCAACAATCACATGATTACAATCCAGCTATTCAGCAACCGGCTTACACTTACAATGTTTGTAGCATCCACAAACACCTGATCACTGTTTGGAACCTTCTCTGCCAGCTTGTGAGAACAAGCAAAGTTAATGGAAAGCCAGCAGGGAAGCTCCAAGCTGCTCCAGTAAGTTGATCCTGATCCCACCACTTTTTCTCTCAAGAAGCCCAGCTACTGATTACAAGATCATGGGGAACTCATACCTTGTGGCGTGCTTCTGCCCATGGCAACCTCCCACTCACACTTCATAATGCACACCTGCACTACCAGCTGCATTCATGTTTGGCTGTAGCAGCCACATACATCTCACCCAACCACATTTGCATTTGTGGCATGCCACAGCAACCACAGGCATGCCCACCTACACTACTCATCACCTATCAAGCCAAGCACATTTGAGCTATGACAGCCATCTGTGCATCCTCCTGCATTCTGCAACAGCCACCCCCAGTTATCTGCACTCAGAGTCATCCTTGGCCTCGCCACACTCCAGAGCACTTATCTGTCCATCACATGGTTTGGGAGCCTCCTGGGATTTGTAACTTCCTGCCTGCTTTCTCACTGACTTTGCTTCTTGGGAACTTGTAACCCTCACTTAATGACAGCAATGGGGATTTGCAGGTTTGCAGTTGCTACATGGTGTGGCCACAACTACATGATTTAGTAGTGGAAATTCTGGTCCCAATTCCCATTGTTAAGTAAGAACCACCTGTAATAAAGTAATGTGCATATGATGGAAAACATGAAACTAAAAGTCTGAACCGACATGTCTGGATTAGAATTTGATTAGAAGCAGTTTATTATTTATTTATTCAATTTGTATTCATAAGACGCAAATGATTCTCAGCAAAATGTTTCCCCCTGTTTTCACTCACTCACTTACTCCATCTTCCATTCTCTGTTTTTTTCCCATTTAGTTCAGCAAATACTGTCATTGAAGTGATAATCCTTCAATTTAGAAAAGACAAGAAAAGGGTTAAGCACCTCCATATTTTGTCTATCATATTATGGGGAAAAATGCTTTGCATCAAAGAAAATTTGGCTTAGATTCCACATCAGTATTTGCCACCTAATCCTTAGTTTAATATTGAATAGACAGAAAATAGTACAATTAATGCATGTTGGTTTTCTTTTAATCAGAGAGATGAAAAAAATAAACACTTTTTTCTCTATGTATTTGACATAGGATTTAACTATTAATGCAGAAAGTCACAAAGTGCATTATCTAGAAGAGAGTTTTATAAGTTGTTTCGATATTAAAATCATGTTTGAATACCAAAAAACATTAATTTTAACCTATGCCTGTATATGCTTACATACAACAACAACAACAAACAACTGTTGGTCACCCCAAGAAATTACACAAAAGAGTTATTGATGCAAGTGAAAAGTTATTTGCATATTATAAGCCTTCATAGTTAACTGTATTTCTTCATGAATTCTAAAATCTGCTTCTTTTCTTTTGGAGAAGACTTCCAGGGGTAGTTGGTCTACAGTTTCCTGGCTTGTATAGTTTTAAGTATCAATAGAAGAGAATATTGGTAGCTTATGGTTGAATGTGCAGTCCTTGATGCTCTCTGAGCTTGGCAATTTTCTTGGTAATTTCATTACCAAACTAGGTAACGTTATCAGTAACTCAGTGAGCACTAAAGACCCAATAGTTTTAAGTCCTTGAGTATTAGAGTGATGAGGCCATTGTATCAGTGTGCAGAATTATTGGCATCAGACATCAGAAAATCACCATATATGGACTAATAGCTGCAATTTAGTGATAGAGCAGATGCTTTGTATGGCATCTCCAGATAGGACTAGAAGTGTTGCTCTTGACAGCTGCTGATATTCAGTATCCATTTTACTAAGCTAGGTTCAGAATAAGGCAACTTATAATATATTTGCTGCAGGTTCCTAACAAGAGCATGGTAAAAGAAGGATCATATAAAACAACACAGAACTTAGATAGAATTGTAGAAACAGAGAATGACAATGAGACTGTTTTACTTACAGTTGTAAAACTTCATTGATTGGAAAATGGTATAGAAATGGTATAACAACATCACTAACCAAACAATCCAACACATGTTTATTCAAAAAGAAAGTCTTCTTAGATCAAAGGATGTTTCTGCCTTACAAGGTGATTTAAAATTGTAAAACAAAGAAAAGACTGAGGAGAAACATGATAGCAGTCTTGGAATACTTGAAGGATAGCTATAGGGAAGAGGACATTCTTCATAGCACCTTAAGCAGAGGACAAGAAAAAAATGGATGAAAGCTCATTAGAGGGAGATCCAATCTGAAAATAAGGAGGAATTTCTTAACAGAAAAATTAATCAATGGAAGAGTTTGCCTTTCAGAGCTGTGGGTGCTTCTTCACTTGAAGTTTTTTTTTTTTTTTAATGGACAACCATTTGTCTGAGATGAGAATTCCTGCCTTAGTCATGGGGTTGGATCTCCAAGGTGTCGCTTCCACCCCTATGATTCTACAAAGTATTTTTTTTAAATTTGGATTTTTTTTGTGTGTTCACTGTGTTCAAACTACAATATATGACCTTGTTAAGTGTAAGGGTGCCAGCACTTTTCAATAATGATCTCTTCAGAGAATGGTAAATGATTGACAGTGCTTCATTTAAGTGTATCATGTGCATTAATTTTCATTTCTTACAAATACTCAAGTACTTGTAAGTACATGTACTTGAGTGTTCTTTCATTAAAAAAAGAAAAGGAGTGGACTTCCGGTTTGAGCTTCTTCAGCGACGGACCAAAATCCACGATCATGCGCCGTTTTGATCCGTGCTTGCCGCTGGAGCACCCCCGAGCCAGCTGGATTCGGGGCTAAGCCATCCCGTAGAGGTGGTGAAGAGGGGGGAGCCTGCCAGCAGGGCTGAAGAGAGCCGCTTCTCTCCTTCTCAGCTGGCCATTACTCCCTTTCCTGAAGGTGTTTGCAGCAGTGGTCAGAAATGGCCACCTCAAAGAAGAACTCGACCGGAAAAGAATGTGCAGGAGGAAGATAAGAAGATAAAGTTTTGGTTGATTGGGTTAAACTGAAAGAGCAACAACGTAAGGTACCCTGGAATTTGAACCATAAAAAAACATTGTTCCCAAAGAAGACTTTGAAGCAGTGAAGGAGAGAGGGAAGGGAAAGGATTTGGCCTTCTTTTTTCTTCCCTTCCTTACTGACAGCTAAGAGATTTAAGTAAGAAATTGACAAGAATCCACTTTGACATCAATAGGCATTTAAGCTGAAAATAAAATGTCAAAGGGATAATAAAGACTTTTGGATACTCAAAACCTTTAAAAGCAGGAAAAGAGAGAAAAGGGAAGAATAAAAGGGCGGGATCTGGAAAAATGGAGGAGACTGCCTGGAACTAAAAGGAACTTACAGTGAAACCTTAACAAGATTCCTAAAAGATACATTCTAACTGTAACTTTGTAACAAAATAATAGAACCCCAGGAAGAGAAAGTGGAAAAAAGAAGCAAGAAGAAACAGCTTTGGATTATTTGGATTACTTGGTGATTTTTGGATTGTTGGTTATTGGATTTAAATGACTAAAATCAATCAGGTGGTTGTTTAAAAGTGTTTAAAATTGTATCACTTTTAGAAGAACTGAAAATGAAACTTAAAAAACAGAAAGAAGATGCCCAAGAAGGAAGAGGTTCTTTTGGCTTCATATTTCAATTTTTAGAAATGGAGATCTGGAACTATGAGAAACAACAAGAAATGCTTGGAGAACAAGAAGGTTGGGACAAAGAAGAAGCCATCTTTAATGATCAAGTAATTTTATGTGGGGGGAAAAAAGGAAAGGGGGGGAAAGAGAGTGAAAAGTTTAAGATTTGAAAAAACAACCCAAAAAAAGAATAGTTTGAAAAATAATTACAATATTAGGAAGCAACAGAAGAGAGGATCACAGAAGAGAGAATTAGAAGTAGAGACAAGGGGGCAAAAAGGGGAGGGGGAAGAAGAGGGGGAAGAAGGAAAGGAAAAGAAATTATAAAAGACAGAAACAAGATATAGAGAAACGGAAAACGTATAAGGATTGAAAGTATAAGCCTATTTAGAGATAATGGGTGAAAATTTAATTGAAAAGGGATTCTGCAAAGGTATATAAGATAGTATTGTTATATTAGAAATAGAAATAATTTTAGAAAATATGAAACAATGTAAATATTAAAATGATGGATAAAATACTTATTGCAATGCGGTGGAATGTTTGTTAATAAATAAATGAAATAAAGAGAATGAGAGAATGAAATTAGGAAAGGATGGGAACATTTTAATTATTATTAATGATTTATAAAACTATAAATGAAGAGAAATATGAAAAAAAATTAATTATGGAAAGTTTATAAGTGTTCCCAAGGAAGTATGATATTCAGTTGAAAAGAATTGTTAAAGATATTAAGATTCTAACTAATATTAATGATAGAATTGAATTGGAATGGAGATAGATAGATAGATAGATAGATAGATAGATAGATAGATAGATAGATAGATAGACAGATATAGCTAGATAGATACACACACGTGTGTGTGTGTGTGTGTGTGTGTGTGTGTGTGGTATTCAGCTTTGTTCGGGTATTTTCCCACATCATTATAGT